CCCATTGTCTCAGCCCAAAATCTCCTTAAGCTGATAAGCAACTTCAGCAAAGTCTCAGGATACAAAATTAATGTGCAAAAATCACAAGCATTCCTGTACACCAAGAATAGACAAACAGAGACCCAAAACATGAGTGAATTCCCATTCAAAATTGCTACAAAGACAATAAGGTACATAGGAATCCAACTTACAAGGGATGTGAAGGACCTCTTCAAGGAGAACTACAAACCTCTGCTTAACGAAATAAAAGAGGACACAAACAAATGGAAGAACATTCCATGCTCATGAATAGGAAGAATCAGTATCATGAAAATGGCCATACTACCCAAAGTAATTTATAGATTCAATGCTATTACATCAAGTACCCCAATTGATCTTTCTTCCAGAATTTGGAAAAACTTTCTAAAGTTTCGCATATGAACCAAAAGGACAAGCCGCACATACCAAGCAATCTAAAGTGAAAAGAACAAAGCTGGAGTCATCACACTGACTTGTTCAACTAATCACGGACAAGCTGACAGTAACCAAAACGCATGTACTGGTACCAAACAGATATTTCTGACCAATGGAATCAGAACAGAGGCCTTGGAAAATAAACACCACACATCTACGACCAGTGATCTTTTGCGCAAACCTGACAAAAAAGAGATGGGGAAAGTCCTGAATTTAATAAATGGTGGGTGGGAACCTACTACACTATATAGGAAAGCTGAAATGGACCTCCTTACGTCGTTATACAAATAAATTGGACTCAAGTTGGATAAAGGGACTTAATTGTAATACCTAACACCATAAAAACCTAGAAAAGGGAGAAACCTTAGGCAATATCATTTAGGACATTCATGGCAAAGATTCATGACTAAAACACCAAAAAGCAATGGCAAAAAAGCCCAAATAGACAAATGGGATCTAATTGAACTAAAGAGCTCTGCACAGCAAAAGAAACTATCATCAGAGTGTACAGGGCAACCTACCGAATGAGAGAAAATTATTTGCAATCCTATCCATCTGAGGAAAGGGCTAATATTCAGAATACTACAAAGACTTAAACAAATTTACACAGAAAAAAACAACAACCCATCAAAAAGTGGGCAAAGTATAGAACAGACACTTCTCAAAAGAAGACATTTATGGGAGCCAACAAGACATATGAAAAAATGCTCATCATCACCTGGTCATGCAGAGAAATGCAAATCAAAACCACAATGAGAGTACATCTCATGCCAGTTTAGAATGGCGTTGCATTAAAAAGTCAGGAAACAAACAGGTGCTGGAGAGGATGTGGAGAAATACGAACACTTTTATACATTGTTGGTGGAGTGTAAGTTAGTTCCACCATTGTGGAAGACTGTGTGGCAATCCCTCAAGGATCTAGAACTAGAAATACCATTTGACCCAGCAATTCCATTACTGGGCATATACCAAAGGTTATTCTTAATGATGAAAGACACATGCACGTATACATTTATTGAGGCACTATTCACATAGCAAAGACTTGGAACCAACCCAAATGTCCATCAATGATAGACTGGATTAAGAAAATATGGCACATATAAACCATGGAATACTATGCATCCTTAAAAAAGGATGAGTTCATGTTCTTTGCAGGGACATGGATGAAGCTGGAAACCATCATTCTAAGCAAACTATCACAAGAACAGAAAACCAAACACCGCATGTTCTCACTCATAGGTGGGAGTTGAACAATGGAACACATGGACACAGGGCAAGGACATCACACTGGGGCCTGTCGGGGTGGGGTCTGGGTGAACTATCATTAGGAGAAATACCTAATGTAAATGACAAGTTGATGGGTGCAGCAAACCAACATGGCACATATATACCTATGTAACAAACCTGTATATTGTGCACATGTACCCTAGAACTTAAAATATAATAATAATAAAAAAGAGTTATAAGATGTTGAGCAGGATTTTAACTTTTAGATAAGTCTGTTTTCTTCTCCATAAATTGGAATATGGAGTATTATTTATCTCAAAAAGTTGTTGGGAGGATTTTAATGTAAAATGAAAGAAATTTGCAAACTATTCTCTGCGACGCAGAGGAAATATACTAGTAATTGGAGTGTTTTAACTGGACTCACACTTTCCAGTGTCCTTGCTAAAACTGATCTCTTGGGTGACAAAATTATTGAAACCTACACAAAACCTGACCATAATAAATACATGCCAAAGTCTCTAAGATTACTCTTATATTTTATTAATATCTCTGAGATTAGACAAGTATAGATTCTCAGAGCAACAACTTTGAAGAGTTATGACATTTATCTCCCCAAGCCCAAAATTAAAGATTTAATAGGCTGAGGGTTTATTGATATCTTTGTACAAATGTTTGTGTTTCATGAGAGGAAAGGACGACTGTAAACTCTGCCAGGCATTTAGGGGTTCTTCACTAATCCCTGCTATGTAAAAGATCATCACTGGTCTCCACTATGAAAAAACACAGCCTTCTCCAATAAGCCTGTGATATTGCCCTTTCTTTAATGACTGACCCAAAGACTAGAATTAAATAATGACAGTTGAGTGTTCAATCTCTCCCTCTACCCAAAACACACACATGGACCATACTTGACTCTTTACTGGGACTATATTTTTTAATCGTTTGTGGATAGTGTTGGTAAAAGCTAGGGAAGTGCCTGAAAGAAAGTTAAGATAAAGTGTTAGACCTCTTGTATCTCAGAATCGAAGTATCTCGTTCTCACATATGCTTTGCTATCCAAAATTGAATCAATAATGGCACCAAAAAAGGATACCCATTTGAGGAGGCTGTTCTAAAGCTTTCTATTTCAATTCAGTAACTCTAACTGAACAAGTTTCCTATACAAATTATACTAGAAATCCCATTTCACTGGCCTCCAGCAATTTTTCTATATTTGCGTATTTGTACCCCAAAAAGATTCTCCAATGGTTTTCTAGTGAATTGTATGATTTAAGGAATTGACAATACATTAAAAAACAAGAATAGGGAAAAACTTAACAAAATATTAAGAGTAATTACTGTATATAGAATGTAAGTATGCGATTTATTTTACTTTTTTCTGCTTGTAGATATTTTCTAAACTTTCATTAATTAATATGTTTTATTTTATGATAGAACACATTAAAGTTTTACTTTTCTAAAGATGCAGGAAACTCACCATGAAGAGCTCCCAAACAAGAATATTTTACATATATTCAAGGTACATAGGTGTAATTATTAATATACATAAGGTTAATGAACATACTAGATATTAATTAATAACTATTCAACAAAAATGCCAAATTTAAAAGAGACAAATTTTGCCTTAGTGTATTCTTTCTTATTGTTTTTCTTCTGCAACAAGTTCTATACCATTTTGGGGAGAAAAATAAAACCAAGCAGAAATGTACAAAGTAGAAAATGAAAGTTCTCTGTCATCCCAAATGGGAGATAACAATTTGTTGCATAATTCTCCAGACTTCTTATCACTGACACCATGTATTTTACTTTATGCTACAAAAATGAAATTGTATTATATGAACTCTTTTGCTGTATTTAATTTTCTATTTTATATCTCACAAATATTTTTCTACATCAATACATTAAGTTATTATTCTTCCTTTTCTTTAAAAATAATGAATAAAAATTCACCCCCAATACAATGAAATGAAAATTTATATAAGAATTCTCCTTCCTTTTCTCCACTTATTCCATCTTATTCCACCTCCAAGGAATTACAACTTTAAAATTTTTGATAGCACCTTTCCTAATTAATTTTTGAAGTCAGATAAAATACATAGATGACTGTGAGATAGGCCTGATATTTAAAATTTTTTTATTAAAAAATTTATTTTTAGTGGCATTTTGTTCACTAATTGATAAGAATTTTAAATTAAAACAATTACCTTTATAGTTTATGTTGAGCCATGAGGGATTTGTTTTGAAATCAAATGGTGCCAGGACATCCAACTCATGCACCCTAAAGATGTTATAAATGAAAACAGTTTACTCTGGATGAAGCAGTTCATAACTGCACATCAAAGCAACGCATATTAGTATTCTCATACAAGGATAAGTTACTCGATTTACCCACATTATGGCACATTTCAAAACTGGCTGAAATGGGAAGAAATCACCAGTGAAGATAATAATCTCTATAGAATTTTTTTCTGACTCAAACGTCTCACTCTTCTTGCTAGAATTACAAGTTGTGGTAACAGTTACAGCAAACTTTCAGATCAATCATTAGGTGAGAGGGAAAAAAGGTAACAAGGGACAAGGCAATGTCTAGCTACAAAATGTAAGCTCACTTTAGGGCCAAACCAGTAGTTCTACAGATGTAAAATAGGTTCACCCAAATGGTGCTATAACATATTTTTTAAGATTAAGTGAGCTACTGTAGCAGTTAGAATTAATAAAATGCTAAATACATCTCATCATGGATATATTTTTGAAATGTAATGTTGAAAAAAGTTATAAAATGACACCTATTATATGATACCATTTATATAAAAAAACTTGCTAAGCAGAAAAAAATGAAGTGAGCTAAAAAGAAAGAGTTTTTAAAAACTGGCTGACTTGGATGACAGTCAAATAACATTTTGTCCACATTGTCTTCTTTGTCCAATTAAGTTCCACTTTGTCCACCAAGTGGACTTAATTTTATTTGATGTCTCAGCTAGAATCTTGGTATTTCCTGCCATCAAACATGGAAGGAGAATGTAATACCATGGAGACAGCGGAGGCTTGAAAAGCAACAAGATACAGGTTCTAATCCCGGTGGTGCTATAACCATGAACTTGGGCAAGTCACCTAACCTCTCTGGGATCCAATTTCCTATCTGTAAATTGAAGAGATTAATCTCTGAGTTCCCTTCCTGTTCTAAAATCTGAGACTATAAAGCACACAACTGGACTTTTTACTATACCCAAGTTTGTAGTTGTGTGCAGCTGGCCAACCAGTTTGCTGCCTCCTGAAGCTTTAAGGTCTAATTACTTCAAATTCCTCACCTCTGACTCATGTTAACTACAAACCCTTGAATGCTCAGAGAATCCTACAGAGTCTTGCCTTCTCCTTGCCCCGGGCAGAGCCTCACCATCTCCAGTCCCAGCAAAGAGGCTGAGGCTGCATGTGAGCGCCAGATACTTCCTCCATGGGCTTGCCTGCAAGCATGCTGAGTAACATTCTTTCCATTGCAAACACTGGTACCATTATTTTTTGATAGTTGCATATTGCTATTAATTTGCACATTGAAATAGAATTCCTTGCTTGCACAATAAAATTAAATTGTGTAAGCACTCAATTTCTAAGAAATCATTTGTAAATACACATAATGAATCTCAAGGCAACCAATATATTGGCAGCCAAAATCTGTAGAGACAAAATTCAACCATAGCAAGACAAAAAATTACCTGAAAAAATACTGTTTTACACTTACATAAAAACAATACCATTAAAATACGTGTATTATCCCATTTTGTTCTCATAATAACTCTTTTTTGGATTATTCCATTTGACAAATGAAGGCACTGAAATAGGAGATACACTGTGGTTTGGTCAAGATGATTCAGAAAGTTAGTAAGAACTTGGGTCTCTTGCCTCCCAAAAGCTATCTCCAACCTAACAGAAATTATTTAAATTGAATGTGGATGATCTTTAAGCACCTTTCTTGTTCAAGCCTTCTCTGATTCAATACCAGACCAGAGAGTAATGGGTTCACTTTCTTTCCATGAACATCCTCCAAAGAGGTAAGAGAAACAGTCCTAATTGATTCTATCCACTTCATTTCATGGTTGTTACTTTTATCATTTTCGGAGATAGAACATTTGCCTATTTTCACTTAAATAATGAAAGTAAGCTGGATGCAGTGGTTCATGCCTGTAATCCTAGCACTTTGGGAGACCAAGGCAGGAGGATCATTTGAGGCCAGGGGTTCAAGACCAGCCTAGAACATAGTGAGACCTTATCTCTACCAAAAAATAAAAAATAAACAAAAGTAAGAAACTATGTCTTTAAAAAAAAATCCACATCCTCTAATCCATAAAGACATATGAAATGTTAACTATAAAATCTTTCCTATTCAATGTTAGCTTTTTAATTCTGTTTGAAGACAATGTGCTACTTACTCAAACAACACGCACCCCGTGCTCAGGGACACGTAGTACACGGTGTAGAACAGGATGACACACAGAAGAAGCTTCTGCAAAACAACCTGTGGAGAAAACAGGTGTGAGGTCCAAGAGCCTGGGATTTTTCACATGGTCTTTGGTAACTAGTTTGGCAAAAGATGATGAATGATTACTAGATAGTGTTGGCTAGCCTTGTATTGCTTAAGGACCCATGGGATGGGAAGGACTTCAAAGTGTCCATCTTGGAGCTTCTTCGGCGGTATAATTTTCTTAAGTGTCATGTGTCTTGGGTTTGGTTTATCCTTCCTACCATGTATTGAAATCAGTTAGTTTTTCTTTTCATTTGAACATTAATAGCCTCTAGATATTTCTAGATGATTGCTTTCATTTCGATCCAAAATAAGATGAATAATATATAGTCTCTATATTAGTATGTGTTTTCAACCATTAAACTTTTCTTATTTCTGTTAATATTAAAATTCAAATAACATTTTAATTTTTTAGTACATTCACTTACTATAAAATTTTCCTTGTGTAATCCAAAAACATGAGGATTGTACTACATACCCAGAAAACCTACAAATACTAAATCTGTGTAAGACATTTGGAACTGTTTTTTTAATTAAATTATAATTTGTAAGACAATATATTTGTTGATAAATTTTATATAGAGATACACTGACTTTTCCTGACAAATTTATAAAACACTACATATTTTTAAAATGTTGCTAGCTGAAGAGGTTACCATCTTACACATTTGCACCAAGAATTAATGCAATATACAAATCCATATCACTTACGCTCCATTCACTGCAACAAACTTCCTAAATGCCAATATTTGTATTTTAACTTGACAAAATGACTCTAAACCTCAGCTGTGATAATAATATAATCTTGCCAGTCATAATAATAATGGCAAGAACCACAGTTACTTTTGCACCAACCTATAGAAAGATGAGAACAGGTAAATTCCAAATAATATTAACAAAAAACCCACATAATGCCACAATAATTAAACCTCTGTACAAGAATTTACAGAGCAATTTGGTAAAACAAAATAGATGGTCCTGAAATGGACTCTTCCACATCTGAGACCTAAGAAAGAAGCACTGCAGATTAATGAGAATTGGAAAGATTATTTGACAAATGGTCCTGTGAAAATAGTCTAACTTCTAAACAGAAAAATCCCATTAGATTCCAGTCTTGTACCAGACACCACAATAAATTTCAAGGGGATTATAGGCTTAAATGCCAAGGAATAGGTTGGGAGAAAATATTTGCAATATATATCACAGGAAAAGGATTGATATCTATAATATATAAACTTACACAAATGTTAGAAAAAGACAAACCAATAGAAAATGGTCAAAGTATATAAATAGGCAATTCACATGAAGAAATACTTAAAAAGCCAACAAACAATCAAAAATGTGCCAAACTTCGCTATTAACCTTTTCAAAGATATCCTTATGACTATAATAAAGGTCGCAGCATTTCACATGAGAAATGCTCAATTTACTCAGTTTATTCTTTTATTTTAGAATCTTAAAGCCATTTTTGCTTAACCCACACTCCAACACTTTAGGATTATTATTAATTTTACTTGAATGACCAATTCACCAAACTGACCACATATTTTCACTTGCCTAGGTACAGAAGGAGCCCACAGCTAGAGGCAGGAGGAGAAGCTAGTTAGCAGAGAGTAGACCACAACCAAGTGGCTGAACAGACCAAATTTACAGATCTACCAAAAACCTACTTCTTCCAGCTATTTTTAAATGGGTAGGATGTGAAGCCTGAGGGGGCCATGAGAAAACAGGACTCCAAGGTTCTGGGACCTTCAGAGTCTTCCCCCACCCCTTGCTCCCACACCATTCTCAACACCCCCTACTCTTTGCCTATGTCCACCCCCAGCCCTGCTCACCAAGTCTCATCTCTCTTTCCTGATTCTCATCCCCAGTTCACCCTCAGGATCTCACATTCCTTGTCTCTGTTTTTTTTTTTTTTTTTTTGAGACAGGGTTTCGCTCTTGTTGCCCAGGCTGGAGTGCAATGGCACTATCATGGCTCACCGCAACCTCAGTCTCCCAGGTTCAAGCAATTCTCCTGCCTCAGCCTCCCTAGTAGCTGGGATTACAGGCATGCACCACCAAGTCCAGCTAATTTTGTATTTTTAGTAGAGTCGAGGTTTCTCCATGTTGGCCAAGCTAGTCTCAAACTCGCCTGCCTCGGCCTCCCAAAGTGCTGGGATTACAGGCATGAGCCACCCCGCGCCTGGCCTTCACATTCCTTGTCTCTTAATCTCTCCTCCCTTATGACCTTCAGTCTCTCCTTCCTCAACCCTTGGTCCCCTCCTGTCCATGCTCCTCATTCTCTCCCTAAGACCTGCATAGCCTGTGGTTCCATGATAGCTGACACAACATGATTTTTTAAAAGGAATGTGTACAAAAGAGACCTTCTTCCCACAGCTGTCTTTCTTTTATCAGAGAATAAAAATCCTTCCTAGAAGCTGCAAACAGCCTTCCCATTATGTCTCATTGTCCGCCACAGGGCCACATGTCCACTTACTGAACAATCACAGGTAGAGTAAAAGGGTTTACCATGGTAGCTTTATGACATCATGACTGCGCTTCCGGGGACAGGCACCTACTGCCTCAATAAAAGAAAAATTGGAGTTCTATTAGCAGGGAAGAAGGAGTTGGGCAGGAAACTACATCTTCCACTGGGAAGGAATCAATACGGAAATAGCTAAAAGCCCTCATTTTGTAGCAAAGGGTCTTTGAAGGTCAAAAGAAAATGTGGAGGTATTGCCTGAGTTGAGGCCCATGCATCAACTGGCTCAATTCTTCCCCAACTGCTGGAATAAGAATTTGCTGCTGGGAGATGGGTATGTAAAACGGAGCAGCTGGGAGCTTCTTCAGCACTATAATTTTTTTAAGAGTCATATGTCTTTGGGTTTGCTTTATTCTTCCTACCATGTATTGATATATCAATTGTTTTTCTTTTAATTTGAGCATTAATAGCCTTTAGATCTTTCTAGATGATTGCTTTATTTCATTTCAATCCAAAATAAGATGAATAATATATAGTCTCTATACTAACACGTATTTTCAACCATGAAACTATTCTTATCTCTGTTAATATTAAAATTTAAATAACATTTTAATGTTTTAATACATTCACTTACTATAAAATTTCCCTTGTATAATCCAGACATGAGGATTGTACTACATACCCAGAAAACCTACAAATACTAAATCTGTATAAGACATTTGGCACCATTTTTTAATTAAATTATAATTTGTGAGACAATATATTTCTTGACAAACTTTACATAGAGATACACTTACTTTTCCTGACAAATTTAGAAAACATTAAATATAAATATAATATCAAAATAATATATTTTAAAATGATTTGTAAGAAATATTTGGAAAAGCAAGGCATAATGTTTGTAAACAATTTTTCTACCTGAATTATAAGTCTAGATTTTCAAATAATACTTTTCTCATAAGCAAATTCATTTGCTTTTAGTATGTTCTTCCTCGAATCTACACCCTACAGAGTCTACGGAATGTAAGTATTTTCTAAAAAACAATCAGACCATCACTTCCTCTGCTTTATATCCTTTTATGGCCTCACATCATTATCAGGATTTATTCTTCCAATTTTTTCATTTGACAAATAGTTACTGGGTGGGGTGGCAATGCAAGGTAAATTGGATGTGGTCCAAGCCATAGAGATGCAGTTGAGCTGTTGTTCTCAAATGTACAAGCATCAGACTCACATTAAGGTCCTATTAAAACACAGATTACAGGGCCCAAGTCCCAGAGTTTCTGATCTGGTAATTCTGGGATGGGTTCCAGGAATTTGTGTTCATAACAAGTTCCCAGCTGATGCTGCATCAGCTGTACCTATTACCACACTTTGAGAACTACTGATCTAGAGGCAAGAATGAGTGAAAAAATGGCTACAATACAAAGAGAAGAGGTATAATTGAGGAGGGTATGGAGTGCTATGTAAGCCCAAGCAAGACAACAGCAGAGAATGGGTAGGTTATGTGTGTGTGTTTGTGTGCTTCCATGCACGTGTGTGAAGGGGGCATGAACATTCCCCAGAAACTCTTTGACAACATTTATTGTAGGTTTTCTTGAGTTACGATATCACATCTGCATTACCTCATTTAATCCTTATAAAACTTCTGAGTGGTAAAATCCTTTTTTAGAGAGAAAAAAAATGAGGCTCAGAGAGCTCTTGTAACTTTCTGAACATTTAACAGTAAATTGCTGAGCTGAGACGCAAGTGCTGCTCTGACTCAACCCTTATTCTACTTAAGATGAGCTGGAGCAGTGGCAGGGGTGTCCATAGGCACAAGAAGCACTTGCAAAGACCTGGGTGAAGCCAAACTTGATGGAGAGGAGTTTTGGTAGGAGAGGTTTAAAGAGCTGAAGTCAGAGGTGAAGGGAAGTTTACGCCTTAATGAGGAATTTTGCATATCTCTGAAGGCCCTGGGGAGACTGAAAGATTTAAGGAGTAGTATAGACTAGAGAGGGGCCATTAGGTCGAGGGAAGCATTTAAATGGGTTTGCAATGGAAATGGAGAGGAGGGCAGGTATGTGAACTATTAAGGAAACAGAATGGATAACTTGTGGGGGTTAAGGGAGAGGAAACTGTTGACTCTATCTCCCAGTTTTCCAACTCAATTTTATTGATTGGTTGGACAATAAGGGGAGCACTATCAGTTCTAAATGACTGGAATGGTAATCCATAATCTAGCCCAGTGCTGTCCAGCAGAAATACAATGCAAGCCACATATGAAATTTTAAATTTTTTAATAGCCACATTTATAAAAATTTTGATAGGGTAAAATTAATTTTAATAATATTTATTTAACACAATATATCCAAGATATTATGATTTTGACATAAATGAATATTAAAAATAGAGATATTTTATGTTGTTTGTTCATACTACGTCTTAGAAGTACAAAAGGTAATTTATTTACAAGACATCTCAATTCAGACTAGCCACATTTCAAGTACTAAATTGCCATGTGTGGACAGTGGACAAGATAGTTCTCACCT